GCTTGCGGCCACCCAGAGATGCTCATGTGAGGCCCTGCGCCTGGCCTTCACCGAGGGCCCTCTGCACCCCGGGTCTTTCCCTTGCAGGCCTCTTCCACCGACCATCACACTTGATCTGTCCTACATTGCCTGCCTAGGGCCTGTGCTAGATGTATAAATTCAAGCAGCAAAATGAATTCTCAGGGAGATGTAATGTTCACTGTCCTTTAATGTGTTACCAATGGTGTTTCAGACTCATCTGTGTTTCTTGATGACCAGTGGAGGAGTCATCAGCAGTGGACATGTGAGCTCTGTGTAGGCCTGAGACAGGTGTTTGGTTCTCTTGACCGATCTCACCTGTGAATTTGAAAAGCCCTTCTAAGGAGCAGTATACTGGGGTTGATAAATAGACACGTGAAAGATGGATTGTATCGATGAAACTGGGAAAGCAGGATGCCATAAAGTAACTTGGGTGTGGAAGGTCATGTTCATCTTTTGTAAGTTGGCTACTGCCACTGGCAGAAACCCCTGAATGAGTGGATAAAGGTGGCGAGAATTGTGAAGTCCAAGTGCTTATTAGTGTCAAACGAGCAAAGCAGAAAAATGTGAAGTAGCAAAAATGAGCAGCATTAAGCAGAAAAAGGAGTTTGAGGCTTGCTGAGGCACCTGACTCATCAAATTGCATTAGCCTCTGCTCATCCCCCAGAGGCCCCAGGGTGTCACTTCCCATGGCTGACATTCATGAACGTTCCTGGAACCCCCGAAGCTGAGGGACTGTCCCCTTGGTGCCTGTGGCGGCTGCTGACCACTGAAGAGTACCTGTGGATGGTGTAGGTGTTTAACCACCCACCTTACGATGAAGTTGGAAGCAGACCTGCTGGAGGAGGAGTCTGTCCCCAGAATCAGATTGCCGAGCCATCTGGTGCTGCAGCTGACCTGGAAATGCATCCAGTAAATTTCAGCCCTGAGTTACAGCTGGTGTGGGGAAATCTCGGAGACAGGTGGTTCCCTTAGCAGCTGTACCTCCGGTTAGGGTAGGCAAGAAAGAAAATTCCATCCTTCTTGAACCTTCATGGATCTTCTGGGATCTGTAGTAGCTCCCTGAACTTTTTCCATGGTAATTACCATATCAGGGCAAATAATGATATTTCTCCCTTCCTTTGTTGAAATAATCTCTGCGAGGCAATGAATCGAAAATTTTAAGTGAGCATATCAAATGATAGATGGATAAAAAAGACTATGGTTTCTAGAGAGTACTCACAGAAACGAGTCTTTAACACATTCTTATGCTGGAAGTATACAGACTAAAGTCCCATCAGGGGAAAAATAGATTGCTGCATTTAAGGGAACTATTTAAATTTATAATTCTGTATTTACCCTGCAAATTTTAAGATAATTTAATCAAACACTGTTTTTATCAAGTGGATCAGTATGCATGCTGAATGAAATGCAAGACATTTTTAGCCCAAGAAAGATAAAGAAGACTTTTGACTTTTGACTTTAAAAATTTGTTCTGAATGAAACACTTTGCCTTTATGCCCATATAATTTGGGGAGGATTTTAGGCAGACCTGGTTTTTATTCACTGACTTAGAAGTGATAAAGCTAAAGTAGCTAAGGTACAGAGGAAGTTAGATATTTTCCCGTGTCACTCAGGATTCAAATGTTAGAAACCAAAGGGAAGAGTCTTGGGGTGATATTCCCCAGCACCCCCACCTTTCTGCAAGTTGTTCACTGCATGATGGGGCCCAGTGGAGACTGCAAGTCGGAGCAGAAATTCAGCCTGAGCTCTGCTCTTCAGGCCACGGGCTGTGCCCACCTGGAGCTGGGACACCTTCTTCAAAGGTGCCAAGTTGGGTGCTGAGCTGTTGGGTTGGGTTCAGCGAGTAGCGAGGGAAGCATATCACCAATGTTATGCCAGGGCTTCTCCAATGCATTGCAACCAGAACTAGAGCTGATCTTGGCAGCATTTTTAAAAAAACAGCAACCGTTGTTTACATGGGCATGGAGTGAGAGTTACGAGCTGTACACAGTTTGGAGAGGACCAGCATCATGAATGCCTGGTTTTACCTTGTCAATTAGACAGGCAGGGAAGGCCCCCGATTAAATTGGACAGAGTTTGAGATTTGGGGCATCTTCCCATCTCCCCTTCTATATGTTAGACTCCTCTCTTCATTTCCTTTCCCCCTTCATCCCCATCCTGCACTGCTCAGCCCTCAGCTTCAAACTTGCCTTTTCCCCAAAACCAACAAAAACCACCTCCCATCCACTAAGAACTTTGTTCAAGAAGAAAACACTTCAGCCAAATTTATACTAAGATGTTAATAGCTAGGAACGGTGAAACATTGCCACCCCTGAGGACACCCTATTAATACTTAAACAGGAAATGAACTGTTCTTCCCAGTGGGTTTCAGGCAGTGGGAAATGGTCGGCATTCTGTTTGGGGTTCAAGGCAGGAGAGCTTGCTTTATTCCTGAGCCCACTGCGTATTGGTCAGAGCTCTTCAGGTTGGCCGAGCACACAGGCTTCCCTCAGTTTCCATCATCTTTGCTCCTTGTACGTTTATCTTAGCATCATGTTAAGTTCTCCATTTCTAGCTCCTGTCACTTCTTTAGACCAATCTAAATGCTTCATTCTTAGCTCTGAGCGTGGCCAGACTGGCTTTGTTTTAACTTCCTTCCTTAACTTCCTTAACTTCCTTCTTCCCAGGCAAGCAAATTATCCTGTAACTTCTTCCTTAACTTCATCTTCCTTAACTTCCTTCTTCCCAGGCAAGCAAACTATCCTGTAACTTCTTCCTTAACTTCATCTTCCTTAACTTCCTTCTTCCCAGGCAAGCAAATTATCCTGTAACTTCTTCCTTAACTTCCTTAACTTCATCTTCCTTAATTTCCTTCTTCCCAGGCAAGCAAACTATCCCGTAACTTCTACCCCAGCCCTAATTTTTTTTTTCAAGTTTCACACTTCCAAAACCCACCTGCTTGAAAGTATCAGATTCTGCTTTTTCTGAAGCTTTGATTGTTGAGGGGAAATTCCGAGCCTTCCCTCCTGCATCCTTACCTGGCATCTAACCCTGTAAGCCCAGGATCGGGAGAGAACTTACTGAGAGTCTGGTTGTTAGAAGCTTTCAGAAGGCAATGGGTGGGACTTTCTCTGCTTTTCTTTCTATGCCAAGCCTAAAAAAGTATAGCTGGTAGTTTTTCCTCTTCTTAGAGCGATTATGATAGGTACTGGAAGCTGGGACTTGACTTTGCTGTATTATTATTCCTTGATCTACAGCCATTCCTATAGCTTTTCTTGGGCTTACCTAATGCCAGAGAAACTAAAACCACTCGTTAATTTGATTAGTTCAGTAAAAAATCTACCATCAGGCAGCATGGCTAAATGAACTCTGGTCAAAGAAATCCAAATAGCTGAAATGAAAGCTCATATAAATATGATCAGGCTGTCCACCTATGATTCTGTAAGGAAACCTCCTAATTTCCAATTTCCTCTGTCATGCCAGTGATATATATATGAAGGGTTTCCTATCTCTCGATGCTTGTATTTTTAAATGCCAGGAAGCTATGCTCATACTCAACTTTGTCCTCAAGGTAAAAGGTTTTGCATATTTAATCTCAATAGGTTCCAATAAAATCAAATATTTGACAGGTTTCCAAATTTCTTTCCTAACGAGGAGGAAGCATCTTTCATGCATTTTGGAATGCTATCTGAACAGTATTGTACGTTTATTTCCCCCTCTACCTTTGAATGAGCGTTTGGTTTGAAAAATCAGAGTGACAGCTTAGCACTCTAAAGATGGCCAGTCGTGCCAGCTCCCTGCCCTCCAACTGTACCTTTTCTTCCCTCTTTGTCTTATTTTCATCATTCCCCCAAATAGAGCCAACCAATGTTGATGCCTAAGGGTCATGTGCTTCTCCCCTGTTACTTGCTATCCTTGCGTAGGAGAACCTCTCAAAGCTCTTGCCGTCTCTGTGCATTAGGATCCTGTACTGAAGGGGGGTAAAATACGTACTGTCTTGGTGATGTCGTCTCTCCACCTTTTTTTCTCAGCCCAAAGACAGCCCAGGTCAGAGGCAGCATCTTTTTTCTTTAAATGTTTAGTTTTTGTCCACACCCTTTTTCTAAGCCTGGTTGTGCTAAGGAACCGTGTGCTGATTAACAGATTGTTAACTGGTGTCTTATCCAGTCTTCTTAGCTACATGTTGAGGGGGGAGTCTGCCATCCTTCAGAGCACAGAAGGAATGGTCCAAGGCCCTGACACCATTTCTTTGGTGGAGGGAGTTGGCTGTGTGGAGGGTGGATGCCAGCCTCTCCCGGAGGGGCATGCTGCCTGGACCCCATCAGCTCTGAGATAAGGAATCAAGAGGTTGCCACTCGATGTGCCACAGCCAGGTTTGAGACGTGGGACAGAGTGTGCAGATACCTGTTTGGACATGTGGCCACCTGTACTATAACATAGTTGCTAACTGGTAAAAATAGAGTCTTTCATTCTGGTAAACCAATATTGAGTGTCTCATGTACGGGACTTTGCATTATGTACTGTGGTGGAGATAAAATAGAGCATTATCCAGGCTTTTAAGAGGCTTATAATCCAGTTGTCTAAACCACTGAGTTTAGAAAGTGTTTTAAAAGTGTGATGTCCTAGAGATACCCTTTAAGGAAATCATAGTTAATGTTTCTGCTATTGTTGTGATTAAACACTTTTCTTTGTGCGGCCCTATTACCAGCTCACACCGCCCCCCCTCCCCACCTCCCACCCTCATTTCCGAAGGGCTGTGTTCCAGGTGGCTGGTGCACAGAGCTATGAATTTATCTCAACACGGGCAAAGCTAATAAATATGATTCAGGATGAAAGGCACTGTGTAAATGCTTGGGATGTTGTTATTACTGTTCTCATGCACTTTATTATTTTTAAATTGTGCATCCTTTTAAGTAGATTATTTGTTCGCCACAGTCTCCATTATATCTAAGCAAAGCTTTCACAGACATTTCTAAAAACCTTTTCATTTCTCTCTGTAGGTTGTTGTTTCGTAACGTTTTATACAAGAAAAGCTGCACTTGAGGCCCAGAATGCACTGCACAATATTAAAACTTTACCTGGGGTGAGTCGGTTTACTTTTGTACCAAAATCACTTTATTGCTTGAAAATGGTCCTTTCAACTGAAGGTTCTAGTTATGGGCTCTTAGTGCCAAAAATGACTTTGGTCTTTTGAGGAGTGTGTGCTGACCCCTCTGCTCCCCTGCGGCAGCCAAACCAGCTGGCCGGCCCATAAAGAAGCACCCGCATTAATGCCGACGGAAAGAGCTCTCAAACCGCGTGTCCCCTGGTTAGAAAATCAGAGTGACCCCACTGGGTCACAGCGGCCGCCAAAGGGTATTGGGTGGGCTAAGATTTTAAAAGGGAGGAAAAAAACCAACTCACACAAGAGAAGCAAATGGAAAAGGAAAAGCTTTTACTCACCAGGAGCCCCTTTTCAAATTTAGTCTTCAGATTTTTCTTTTGAAAGAACAAAATGTACCCTGTACAGCTATAATATTAAACCTCATAATGGCTTCTAAGCAGTCAATGGTGGTTAACAAAGTCAATGTTTTAATGCCCTGTTTGTGGGTTCGTGTTGATAGAGAACAGAAAATACAAAGCTTACTTTTTTTTCCATTTCCTTCCCGATGAGAAGCAAATGGAAAAGGAAAAGCTTTTACTCACCAGGAGCCCCTTTTCAAATTTAGTCTTCAGATTTTTCTTTTGAAAGAACAAAATGTACCCTGTACAGCTATAATATTAAACCTCATAATGGCTTCTAAGCAGTCAATGGTGGTTAACAAAGTCAATGTTTTAATGCCCTGTTTGTGGGTTCGTGTTGATAGAGAACAGAAAATACAAAGCTTACTTTTTTTTTTCCATTTCCTTCCCGATAATATCTGATGATGAGTACAATTCTCTAGAAGTGAACTGATTTATGTGACTACTTTATGAGACTACATGATTTCTGGAGTTTGGGGGCAATTTATATAGTGCATGCTAGTATGACTATCCCTGTGCTGTTTGAATATTTCCCCCATTGACTCAAATATCAGTGCCGAGTGCATTGAATATCATAATGATGTGCATTGGTTACATGAAGAACCTGTGGTAAGTAGTGTATTGCTAATTATTTTATTGAAATGTGGTTTGGTAAGAATAGAAGGAAGGTAACAGAATGCCCCTAATTTTTCAGGGTGTAGTTCTACCTCTGCGTCACTGAGCTGTCTCTGTAGATGCACGCACATGTCCGAATTTTACCCCCCATCACACCCACAAAAGAGACCATTTGTGTAATTCACCTTTGATCCATTGAAAAGTTTATAATATCTGTACTGGCAAGACTCAACAAAAGGTTTTCACAGCATTAGCTTCTTAATCACCCAAAAATAATAAATTGTGACCCTTGGTCTTGAATCACACCACTTTGCCGTTCCCCTTTTCATGTGAGCAAATCAAAGAGAAGGTCCAGCAAGCGAGCGTGTGGCCCGAGGATTCTCCCTCCCACTTTGATTTAACTACTTCTCTCTGAAACTTATGAGGGGTTTTTTAGTATGTCTAAGTGACTTAAAAAAGAAAGTAGTACTTCAGCTTCCATTTTCCATGTATATGGGATTTTTTTCCCCAATGTAAATTCGAAGAGGTTGCAATGTTATGTCATAATAACACAACCAAATCCCTTCTATGTATGTTTAAAATATATATATATTTGAAATCTTGAATGGTCATTTGGCATTTAGGGTGTATTGATGCCAAATCACATCCTGTTTTAAATGAATGCAAAGTTTGGTTGGCTTGCATTTGTCCCCAGTAGAAGCACAGCTCTCAGCATGCCATCTTCATGTGTGAACTGGCTCTCAGGAAACCCGGAGTGAACATGGTGACTGAGCCATGTTGAAAAACACATAAGTGACTGATGAGCGTGCTTCTGTTTGGGACATCTTACTCCGACCCTTTTCTTAGCAAACCAGTAGTATCTTCTGTATTTTAAAAGAATGTCACATATGCCTCTCTCTTTTTTTCTCTTCTTGAAACTTCTACATGCACAAGTCAGGGATGGTGATTTTGGAGACCCCTGTTTAAGGACAATGATTCTGGGGTTGGAAAACATGGTTTGTGGATTGTTTTGGGTTTTCTTTTTATCCTGTTCAGTTTCATATGCCCAATTACTTGAGGCGGGTTAAATGAAAATTTTGAGATGTCGGGTCTGATTTGTAGGCTCATAGCCTTCGCAGCACGCACACTGCCGCCACACTTGCCATTTCCAATTAGGTAAATGGGAACAGAGTTCCCGGTCTTGCATTTATGTATAGTTTTATCTGATAAACATCACCCTTAACAGCTACAGGAATAACATGAAAGTGGTTTCTTTTCAGCTGTGAGCTTTTGGTGGACAGGAAGAAATGGGACCAGACATAAAAGATTAATGCATATTCTTAGGGAAAAAATATTACAGGATGCCTTGCTGTTTGATTACAAGCCTTGGAATTAGTCAACATTTCCATAATTCTAAACCAATACACACCTGTTTCCCCACTGCGATGTGAAGGCACAACTTAATTTAACAGAACCCCTGCTGTGCTCGGTCTCTCATTTAAATACCAAGGAGCTCAGTAATTTAAAGTTGTATCACTACTATTTTTACTGGTTGCCTTCATATTATGAAATTAATAAGAAATTAATGATGCACTGTGCCATATGCCTTTAATATCTCTCTGAATAAAAATAAAAGGGATAAAGAAAAACGCATCACCAGCTGACACTTTAAAGCTTTCCTGCTGTAATCATTTTCCTGCGGATAAAATCCATTAAAAAGGCACTTGCTGCCTTTTTTTTTTTAAGTGTCCAAAACATTCAATTTAAAACAAGATCAAAGAGTGCTGGGTGTTTAGGGTTTTTTGTTTTATTTTTTTCTATTTTCTTTTGTAGTTGGTATTTCGTATCATATGGAACCTGTCATGCAACCAAAATTAGGTGTTTAGGGACCATCTTTCTTTCCTTCCTGAGAGAGACAAAGAACTTGGTTGCTATGGGAGAGGTGAAAAAAAGCCAGCGGGTCTATGTGTCATGCAGTGGACTGTGCCTGCCCTTCCCCTCGTGTCATATGTGGGTTACAGAGACCCTGTACAAGGAGGGTGCAGGGCATGTGGTCCAGGGTCAGGGCCGTACTCAGCAGTGCAAAGCCATTAGGGACCCATCTCTCAAGCCTGTCTCTCATCCTGTGACTGAGAAGCACTTTGAGCCTTATGTCTTCTGAAATGCTCAACACGAATCCTAGAAATAGAATATTAAAAATAAAGGGAGTAAATTCAGTAGCTCAACCCATAGAACAAGGAGTGGGCCTCTGGGGTTCATTTCTCTGGTTTGATCATGTTCTCTTTCAGAAATGGCAGCTTGAAGTATGAGCAACAGATCAAATCTTATGTGCAGTGCCCTACTTATGACTGACATTTCATCAGATTAACAAGTCACTAATGAAATTGAGTGCCTACTGTGTACTAAGGGGACTAAGCTATTCTGATCTCTCACACACACGCACGCACACACGTGCACACACACCCTTGAATTCCCTGTGCATCATACTTCCATAGCCTGCAGAGCACACTGCGACTGTGTGTGCACAGGCCACAGGCCGGGCTACTTGATGAGCCATTGAGTTTGGTGCAAAATTGTTAGACGGACTCTTTCCTTAGCTGGGCCATTTGTGTTCTTGGACAAAGTTTGGTTGCCTCTGCTTTGACAGCAGGCCTTTGGCTTAGGGCTAGCTTCCTTTGTTTAGAGTTTCAGGTAGGCACAACATAACTAGTGGGATCATTCAATAGAAATGCCATCATCTGCCATTGTATTTCCCAGAGAGAAACCCTTGGAAAGGCAACTTGCAAGATTCATTTTGTTTACACTGACCTAATTTAGCTTAATTAAAAAATAAAATGAAGACCTTAATTGCGGCGCAGAGCAACTACCACAATCTTTTCAATAATCAGATGTCAGGTCCAGATATCCCTGTGCCAGTGACGGCTCTGTGCCTGTGTCATTCTTTTTCAAGGTCCTAACACACATTGTCTCTAGCAATAAGGCGTTTTGATTGAAAATCTACAGCAGTATCATTAGAGCATTCACTGTATAAATTAATTTAATTAAGGATGTAATAACAGAGAGGAATACAGTTTTGAGAAAGCTCTTAAATTTTAACAGCAAGAAGGAATTGGTGGAATCTAAATGTCTTGTAAAATATTAATTGCAAATTTCTTCCAGACATTTTCTCTGAATATGCCTTACTCCGTTCCCTCTTAGAGTCACTACCAGTTTTATTAAATGCAGTTTATATTAAGGAGTTATTGCCGTAGGAGAACATGTGTTTGGAGCACTCCCTTCTGGCAGTGGCACACCAAAAGGTGTTTTATAATAACACATACGACATGAGCACCGACTGCAAATAGATTTGAGATATAAAAACAAATGAGCCTGATCCGGGGGAAGAAGCTGTAAATAAAACGGCCTCTTGGGACAAGTGTGTTCACCCACACGAAGTGAATGAACCTCTTCCTGGCTTGCCCTGGAAGAGATAATTTACCTGTGGGGGTGGGCGCTTTCCTCCAAGGAGGACTTTAACTCCACTCTCCATAGAATTGTCCCCTGTGCCCTTTAACAAGGCTTGACTGTCCTTTCACTAGGACAGTGTGGCTCTCACAGAGACCAAAGTCAGTCTGTCCACAGTAATGCATTTTGACATCATCACTTACTTTGAGCCACCTCCTCTAATTATTAATATGTATTTAATGCCTTTATTCTCAGAGTTATGATGGTATTATTTTATCATTATCATTGTCATCTATTTCTGTCATCAGATCTCTAAAACCCCATGTCATCATTATCTTGGAAATTTCCCCCAAAAGCATCCTATTTGAATCAAAGCCTAACTAGGTCAAGCTAGAGAAAGTGTTTTCTCCAATGCTTTTTATTTAAAATTGTTATGAAAAACAGCCAAAACATTTCTCTGCACAAACAGGTTTGACTCCTTAAAATCGTGGACCATCTGAAACATTCATAGACTCATTCAACCAATATTTGCTGAGTTTGAGT